AGAATACAGGAATTGAAGTTGGAGAATCTGAATGATGAGGGAGCAGAAAAAAAAGACGAAAGAAAGATGATCTAAAAGTGAGAGAGTGTGAGGTTCTAAAGAAAGAGAGGATCTAAGGGATCAGAATGTTGTTCCCATTTTTAGCGGACGATTGAAAAAATTCAAATGAAATGCAAACGAGGACGAAGAATTAAATATCTTGGCTCAAGAGGAGATCCTTTTGGATAAGATGGTGAAAAAACAACGAAAAACGAACTTGTAGCGGTCGACAGTGTTTAGTGAGTGCTTATTTTTCCTTCATTTTTCATTTTTTTTCACATTGTGTTATTGTTCTGATTTGGGGTCTTATAAACAGTCAGGATGTCAATTTATCTTGTCAATAATATTAACTCACCAGACTTTAATCATCTTTTTCTCTTCAATTACATTTCTATTTCATTTAATTCATTTTGATAAATAACTATTGTTATTTTTAATGATAATTAAATGATTCAATCATTGACAATACTTAGATTACTTCTACTAACAAAGTTTTTTCTGCTACACACGCAGAGAAATGTATAGTAAAAATTACTCTGAATTTTATAGTAATTCGGTGATACTGTAGGGTGAGGGTAAAAATTACTATATACATGGTAAAAATTACTTTGCACATTGTTAAAATTACTAAACTGCATAGTAATTTTTAGGGTAAAATAAGAGTAAAAATAACTATGCAGTTTGGTAATTTTAAAAATATGCACAGTAATTTTTACCATGTATATAGTAATTTTTACCCTCACCCTACAGTGTCATCAAATTACTATAAAATTCAGAGTAATTTTTACTATATATTTCTCTGCGTGCATGAAAACATAACATACATCTTACGGAAAGTAATTCGATCAAACGCGAGGTGTGCACTGCAAATCCAAGTACAATTTTGTTATACATCTACACGTGTTAAATATGACGTTATCCATTTGATGATTATTGTAGTCACTTTTTACACCTTTAGGAGCGCATTAAAAATGACAATGTTAATTAAATTGGTGATGTCATGTTTAACACGTTTAGACGTGTAACAAGAATGCATTTAGATGTGCATTGTAGAGATACTTTATCCATTTTTGTTAGAAAAATTTGATTTAAGAATTGAAGAAACACATAGGAAGTTCAGCAAGTAGAGCAATCCGATTAACAGTGAATCAGTAGTATACACAGTGAACCATTAACATTACGCGTATTATCTGCTTTATATGAATGGTTCATTGGCCACTTCACTGTAAATCCAAGTACGTTCTTATTACACATCTAAACGTGTTAAATATGACGTCACCCGTTTAATTAACATTGTAATTACTTTTAATGCGTTTCCGAGTGTGTAAAAAGTGACTACAATATTAATCAAATAGATAACGTCATATTTAACACGTATAGACACTGTAAATTTGAGTGTTTTATTTTAAAACACCTTTAACGTTTTAAAATAAAACGCTCAAATTTACAGTGGATGTGTTATTTAATATTTTATTATCCGTTCTATTGCATTAAAATTAATCATACATACATTTTCAGATGATCTGTAAAAACGAAATTTATTTGACACATATAGATATCATTCGGTCATGATCTCATTACATGAATTGAATTTTTCGAACCCTAAGGGTGATAAGTGACTTTTGGAATACCAGGCGAAGAATCCCTAGTAAAATATTGCCAATAAGGACTACGGCAAACTCTTGTTTTTACACAGAGTAAGGTATGTGAGACAAGAAAGGGAGTTAGTTTGTAGAATTTCTGTCCAGAGTAGTTGGAAGATTACAAAACTGTAAGGGCAAGAGAAGAAAACCAATATAAACAAATCCATAGGTCAACTTTTAGACTTGGTAACCATGTGAACAAAGTACAGAAGTCGAGAAGGGACCAAAAAAGAAAGATGTCAGAAAAAAAAGTTGTATCTTTCCACTTAACAATAAGCCCTAAGTTTCAAAAATTGTTCTAAGGGATCAGGACAATCCAAACCAATTGCTGCATCTTATCTGCACTTGACAAATGTGGAAATGTTGAAAGTCCACTTCAATAGTAAGGTTACATGAAAATAAAATTCAGAATGATAAAAAAAAAATAACTGATACGTTTTTGAAAAAACAATTATTAATACTTTGTTTAATAACTATTTAATTGAAATGTTATAGGGAGGATAATATTTTTATTTGTAATAGAAAACAAGGTTTACCCTGTTGTTGAAAAGTGTGTCTAAATTAATGTTAAAGAAATAGTTAAGGAGGGTTGGAGCATATCAACGTGACTAGAACCGTACTCGATGAATGTTTATAAGCTCATAATAACATAACAATATCCCTCATTTTTCAGTTAACACCAAAACATGATCCCCCAATATTGTTTGGCAATAATCAACGAGTGTAAAAATGATCTCAATACCATATACATCAGTATTCCAAGATTCACTTTGAAACCAGGGAGTTTAAAATATTGAGGGGTGCGTTATAACTCTGTGTATTTTGTGGATAAACACATGAGTTGAAGACGAAGAAAGGGAGAGAAAAAAGCAGATATTTTGAAAGCTTACGACCCGTTATCTATTGATTGGTTGGGGCTAAAACTGTCACCGAAGGTGCAGTCATCTGCGTGCCTATAAAGAAATATATAGGCCAGAGCCCCGAGTGCGTAAGAGTAAAGAGAAGAGAAAATAGGACGTAAAGATTTAGTGTCTTTCTCCCTTTATTCCGCAAAATTAAGGAAAGCTATACCCGTATGTCTTCGGGATACCACTTTATAGCAGTAACCCGTATAGGGTCAAGACACTGATGACATTTCTTCAGGGTTTTCTGAAGCTGTTGTATCTCTCGTTATCTCAGGCTGCTACCCAATACACATTCTCTACATATGTGCACACTTAGATGGAAATACAAACACACACTCATTTTATGTATACAGCTTTTCCAAAGATTGACGCGAATTCGGTAAAGTTAAACAGCTGCTCACAAAACGAAAATGTCAGCGATAAAGTGTCAATAGTCTGTTGCAGACAGGACCATGAAGTGTTACCCACACCCTCCCTATCCTCACTGCATTCATTTGATTCAGTCTATCGGAAACGAACACTCAACAGATTGAAACGCAATTAAAGTTATAATAATACTAAAGTACACAAAGAGAATTGGAGTAAATTGTGTACTTTTGACATTTGAATAAATAAATTTTAGGAAAACTGTTGAAATAAACATCACACAATAATAAATCACGCAATAACCATTATAGGCACGTGTACGTAATTAATGTCGTTGCCATTTTTTAAATTTACTAGTTCAATGATTTCTACAAAAGGGACACACTATATTTATATTGCTGCACTTAATGTAATTGTTACAGTGGATATTTTATTTATAACTAAATGGGTAATAAAGTTTTTTGTTGGTCACTATAAATATTTATTAGTCGAATGATTTTATTGAAATTTATAAATGGTTTTTTAGGTATAAAAAAATATCATGATATAGTTCTTGACAATTATTTATCATTAATGTACGTAGATAGTAGATTAATGGCCAATTTTATCCTAGAGTAATTATTGTTCATTAAGTTGATGCATTGTGTACCAATAATTTAATCGATAACGGATTTATGATAAGTTTCATGAGCCCAGTATTAGCAGCTGAAACCAAACTAATATTAATCATTAACGATGATGACTTTGTAATAAATTTTCAAACTGCTTAATGAAAATAATTTTCATTTAGATAACCCTGGGATTGAAAATTTTTATCATTATTTTAATCATCAACCATCATCGACTTCCAGCAGATGATAAATTTATGAAAAGAAAAATATTCATCATCAAACCCTTCTGTGAAAATAAGTCTAATATCTTAAAAAAAATTTTCGATCACCATAAATTTCTATTTGGGAATAATTTTTCTATGGCAGTGATTCTGTTTGAGTTAAAATCTGTCGAATTATGTCATTCTTTCATGTAAAAGTTTTTTATTTTCACAGAAGAAGTAGTAAGTAAAAAAGTATTATAACTGATTTACATATCCAAAGACAAACACTTAAAACATGTAAACCGCTAACACAGCTTCAAAACATTTCATATGTACGTCGACGCAACCCATCTAAACGAGATTAACGATTCGACGAGCTCATACGAGGCTCCCTCGAGAACTGTACAGAAGGATGAAGAGGCTGCGTCAGAACTTGGGGTAAATTTTCTCTTTCCTTTCCACGTATACATACATGCTTCTTGCTATATTTATATTGCTTTCTTCTTGTATGTGCACATTGAATGAAATATTTAAAATATCATCTCAAAGCCATTTCAAAATAACATTGCGATTCTACGAAAGCTTTCATCTAAATTTTAGAGAAGTTTAAATTTGGAAAGATTTGTTGAAAATTATATACTCACTTATGATAATTGATTTTGCTTAATTTAATGGCAAACTTTGTTAGATATAATTATTTATCGTGTAATGATATTCATACAACCTGCTTATTGTTATTATAATATTTTTTATTATGTGTAAAAATTCCATATTTTCCCTCATGGATTATAAAATGGTAAAATATCAGCAACATGAAAAAATGAGACGGTAAATTGGCTCCTGTGAGTTGAGTTGAACCCTCGTTTTTAGTCTTTTTTCTAACCCCTCGATGTCAAGTTCGTCTTCCATTCTATAGAAAAGTACATAATCCTGGAGGCCTAATAACATATTCCTCTAGGGAGCATGGAAATAAGATAGCAGGTACACCAGAAGGTTGTGAAGAAGAACAAGAAGCACATTCACAAAAGTAAAAAATAAGATGTTTCTGATGGAAGTTTTATTCACATTACATTCAGAAAATACAATTCTTTTTGAAATAGACTTTTGAATTTGTTGCTTCTCATTAATTTGCATCCCACATTATAATTTATCCGTCTACATCTTACAAGAAGCTCAAGTAAAAAAAAGTTTCAATTTTTTTTAAACCAATTAAACTATTGAAAGTAAAGCTTTGTGGTTTATTTCAGACTTTAAGTCAAATAAAATTAATCTCTGGTACACATTCACCATGGATGCAAATCTAAAAGAAAGTATTGTTATTGACAAATAAAATTGAAGTACATAACTATTTCTACTTACATGTCCGACAGTATTCAAACCACAATTTGTTCCTTCAACCGCGGGAGCTGTTGTATTTATACACCCTTCATCTTCAAATCGACATTGCAACATTATACAATTCGAAACTTTATCCTAGAAATCACAAAATGTATATCAATAAAAATCTATTCATCTAAATGAAAGAAAAGCATCTTTTACCTCACAGCTTTCTATTGCTCCAGCTTGTTTGCATTGCTCATCAGCATTCATTAGTTTTCCAGGTAAATATCTTGGAATTGGACGTCCAACACTTTTGGGTTTATTATAAAGACATGAAGCACTTTCTGAGCTAAAAGAAGAATTAACTACTAAAGAATTTTGTCTTTTGGGTACACTAAATAAATAATGTACTTACTATATAAATTTTTCAAACTTTTTCACACTGCATTCAGACCATTCGAAAGCATTTTGAGATGCTTGTTTGTTACCAGACATGATGTAGCCATCCCATAGATCACATTGTGGAGGACCTATTTATAGAAACTGAATTAATTGATATTTAAATTTGTGAATAGAATTTCGGGAACAAATGCTTACCCCACTCCTCAGTAGTGGAATTATACACACTTACACCATCATCTAAAGCCCCTAATCTAATAAATTAATATTGATATTAAAAAAAACCTTTGAATAATTATTAAGATATATAAAAAGAATACACGGAGATAATTTTGCGTAAGTAAATTTGATACTTAAAAAGTGTCTTGGTAGAATAATTACTTATGACAACTCAAAATTCATCGTTGAACAGAAATATTTTTACTTCTAAATATCCAAACGTGCACTTGTCATTTTTGCACTTACATTTAGTGCAAAATTATCTTCGTGTAGTAGAAATTTAATGAACTTACAGGTGTCCTATTTCATGTGCTGCAGTGGTTACTCCTTCATATGCTCCATTATCATGAATAATCGCGAGTTTATCAATTTGTTTAATATTGTGATGTACTGAACATGCACCAGATGGCCAAGCCTGACCTTCAAAAAAATACATCACATACTTAAGTTTAAGTAATAAAAGTAATTAATAGTACTGAAAGTAACATGTTGAACACTATTTTAAAGTTTTAATCGATTTATCAATACTTTTTAAAACCCTCTTATGGTTTACAATCATTTATTTAATTATTTATGAATCAAGTTATTAGAAATATGATACTGATTATGAAAAAAATGAAAACAATAAAAAAACCGGTATCGTTTTGTGTTTGGTTAGATATTGAAAAAAGTTCTTTTGTTAAAAAATGCGAAAAAACGATATTTATTCCTATGTATTCGGAAGTGAGATTCGACTACTAGGAATACTTGTATATTGACACATCCTACATAGATATCCTAGCAAATATTTTTATCCAGCTATTTTCACAGAGCAGAAGAAAGGTTGCTGAGCAGATAAATAGACCGACAAAATACCAGCTCTAGAGGATGTGTACATATTTTTGAAAAAGTGATAAAAACATTTTGAAAAATTATCTCAGACAAATATCACGACATAATTCATTGACTCATAAATTTTTTTAAACAATAGCTATAAATGTTATATTAATTTTCATATTACTATAAAAATATTTTATCTACTTACCAAAAATTTGTGGAAGACACTTATTCGTTACTTTGTCATATTTCATACAGATAATGGAGCTGTCATGAAAAATTTTAATATTGAAATATATTTAATTACATGTAAAAATAATAATCATTATTCATTAGAGATCATTTACCTAGTCATTATTATTATCATGTCATATGAATCCAAGGGAATTAATTCTTTTTGTTCATACCAAAAATTACGAGCATTATAAACACAGTCATAAGTCAAATAATCTGGACTTCCATTTTCTTTTAAAAATTTAAAGTTGCCAGGTTCTGCTTCAAAAATGAATTGTGATATGTGGAATCTGTATTTTGGATTCTCCAAACCTCTGTATCTCATGTCTACTGCGTTCCAGAATGACAGCAGGTAGGGTATGATGGTCCAATAGTCAAACTTGAATTTTCTATTGAATGAAAAAATATCATTGATGAATAAAAAGTAATACTCCAAAAAATTAAAAATTATCAATGCATACTTGAAATACTCATAAGACACTGCTATTGCAAGTTCAGGATAAACAACTTTTGTATATTTAGGAGTCATTTTTCTTGTTCTTAAGCGTCTCTCTCTACTATACTAGTGATTAAAAAATTTTATAATAAATTTATTAATGATTAATTTAGAGAAAAAGTTCATTTTTTGATAAAAAAACTTACACGATTCCTTCGCTGACGATTGCTAAAAACTTCACTTGTGGTTTGAGCAAAAAATAAATGGCTAGAACGAGCAACAATATCATGGACAGCCTAAACAAATTTAATTACTCATTAATATTATTTCTAAGTTAAATATTGAATTGACATGAAGATTAATTAATGCATTACATTATTGATTTCATGGCATTCTAAATTTGTATTGTTATCTTTTAAAATAGCAAACACTTTAGTGTTCGCAGTTGCTAAAATGCCATCTTTTGGATGAAACCAAGGATCTCGTAACATTTGAAATGAATTACTTCTTATCCTTGGTGTATTTTGTGTATTATTTCTATAAGGTCTAGTTGAAACTTGATTTACACTCATGACTGGAGATCCTACTGTAAAAAATTCGTATACACTAAATGTTACCTTATATTTACTAAACTTAATCTTTAAAAGTTTTCCATACCAATTACATGACGACTGTAGAGTGAAATGAATCCAAAGACCACAAAAATTTTAGATAAATCTGAAACAATATATGCAAATGAAATTTTTTAAATTCTTGTACTCAAGATATGTATATCTATTTATATTTTTGAGATTTTAATTAAGAACTTACTCCACATTTTCATAAAGATAAAGGTAGACTTGTTGTAAGTAATTTTGCAGACTGTTAACTACCTGCTCTTTATAAAATTACAACCAATCTTGATAAAGCTAGTTACCTCATTTAATCATTAAATGAATATTAGTCTGGCAAATATATTCCTGTCAATGTAATGCTTGAGAGAATTTTAAGCAGCGTCCTGAAATTATTAACTACTGATTATTTATAATTATTCAAATTTCCAAATCTAATGAAGAAAGATCCAACCATTGATTTTGTTCTTTTTATTTGTTATCCATTATCATATCTTTTATTATTCATCAATTAAAATATTGTAACAGCTGAAAATAGCTATGTAGTAGAAATTCTCGTTACATCATTTATTTAGCTATAATTTACGTATTCAAAAATTGTTACTCAATTTATTCAAAAAAGAACAGTTACATTATCATATAATGACATAATTCACGCCTGCGAAATTTTCAAAGTTTATTATAAATAAGATTTCTTTACTCTATTTTTCCTTTTTTAGTAGATTATTAGACTACCATTCAATAACAATTAAAATAAATTTTCTTATCAATAAAATGTTTACTATTTTCTTTTTAGAATAAAATTGAAATAATAAGTAACGAAGAGACTTACCAATTTTGTTTCATTCGGGAAATATTATGATGGGATCAATTATTGTTTGGAGATGTTTTATAAGTTTATTGATCGTTCATGAAAATTTATTAGAGGCGCATTGGTGTGACAAAGACCATTATTTTCATCATTTTGTTTCGTCTAGTGAACTATTAGTGCTCGTTTGATCACTGATACACTTTCTTTATCAAACGATTTGATGGTAGATTAAAATAAAGCCGATTATACAATCTCTTTTCAGGGATAAGTTAATCAAATTAGGCTTCTGTTTCACACAAGTTAGCAGAAAACTGATTTTCATCGTAATTCAACCTGGTTTATATACTTCTATAAAAAATTATTTTGTTATCAATTCTGCTTTACGTTGACTCATTTTTAATATCAATTCATTCTAATTTTTTATTAGTAATGTATTTTTTATTAATAAATTGTCATTAATAATACTAATATCTCACTTAATGAATTATATCTACATCTAGATACTAATAAAATTCTAATAAATATTCTGTTATTAAAAATTATATTTAAGTCATAGTAGACTTAAACTGTATGATTAATTAATATAATAATAATTTTTATGAACACAAAAAGCTTATCAAAGTTATTTTCCTTTATTCTGATCATCATCAACTATTAAGTTCAAAGTTGAATAGATAAAATGTTAATAAAAAATTTAACGCTGATTTTAATCTGTCATGATTTATAAACTTGATTAATGAAATTTTCCATGGTTTCCTATTTTTTTTTGATCCCCCATCCCTCGTAATAAAATAAAAACTGCAAATGCTTGACACATAAAGAAAAGGAAAGCTGCGATATTTCCAATGTGGTTTTCTATTCAACATTTATATTGTGAAAATTTTTTATTTCTGGAAAAAGTACGCCCATTTCCCCCCAAATTTTATACCTTTTAGTAAACAGACCACCAGGTGTCAGTCAGTCATAAAATTCTCCTCCCTTTGTACTTTCATTGTGCGTATTGCCTACTATATGTATGCTTGGTGACAAAAAACAGTCGCCCTTTTTCCGATCATATATACCACGTCCGGCGCGGGTGCGGAAAGATGTGGATCGTAAATCTCGCTTTCGATCTAGCGAGACTGCGACAACGCCTCGTAAATTTCACAGTGACCATTTTGTACAACCCTCCCTGCTGTCATTCAGGCCTAAAGTTTAGGCGAGTATCAGTTTTTCTATTTCTTATAGAGTTTTTCTCGCTGTTCGATGTTTTGAAATAACTATTTGCTCATAAAATAAAACGAAATATTGAATTCTATTTTTGGAAAATTGTTATAAATACCAACTTCTTTTTTCATTTTTTTTTCAAACCGTAAATATTCATTTTCTTTTATGACACCGTTTCGAAGATTATAGACGTTTCCACCATCATATCACATGAAACCTGACATGATAAAGATTTATTTAATTTTTTCGCAGTTAAGTAATTTTTTATTGTCTCTTCTATGATTTTTTAAAATTCCAAAATTTTTATCATTCATTTTTCACGTGTTAACTAATATTTCATTAAATAAATTTATTAAAATATTCAATCACCCTTAATCTATTTTTATTTCCAATATAAGTCCAGATGAAAGGGTATAAGTCACTCGAAAGAGATATTTATAACTATTTTGAATAACAATTGAGATTTACGGAGAATATTTATACAGTTTCAAAAGGTTTTTCCAAGGACCTAAATTCTTTCTAATTTTGATGTCAGGCTGATGTTTGAAAGGAGATATCCCTTGATGGTGTCCGCTTGATGTATTTTAGAGAAGGGATCAACAAGGATGTGGGTTTTCTCTTTGTCGATAGTGCTCCAAAGAGCAGAGGGGTGATAGATGTAGAAAGAATAGAAGGATTGTTAAAATTCCTAACTACAGCTGACAGATGTCCTGTATAATAGCTAATGGAGGAAAATCGAATTTCACTTATTTTTTTTTCCTAATAGAAGTGCAGTTTCCATGTATTAATCTATGATGAACTATTGTGTGAAATGCGTACGTCCATTGATAATTTTTAAAGTTGTCTTCGAACATTCTATTTAAAAACTTAATTAACATTTTATTCAAAAAAATTATTTATCAAATATTAGTGTTCCATATTTTTACTCACTTTTACATACAATAATTTAGCAATTTAACGTATAAAAAAATATATAAATATATTGATTATTTTTCTATTCACCAGGAACATAATAGAACAGAAATATCTCTGCTTGATGATAATCTGATACGAATAACAAAGGTGAATCAAATTATACTCCATTATCTTTCAAATATTTAATTAACTCTTTTGCGAAATAAATCATATACTTGTATTAATATAATTATACAATTACTCAAACGAATAATTTTTTCTGGCCTACTTTGATTAAATATTACTTAAAAATCATTCGAATAAATTAGCATATTGAAAAAATCTGATCTGCTGTTTGAGTATATATTGGTGAAAATTACGGTGAAATTGTGAATACACTTTGAAATTATAAATAAATAATAATAATTAATTAATCGATCCTTCTGTTGATTTACCTTTTCCTAGAATTTCGTGACGTATGTAAAAATTATTGAGATCATTATTAAAAATGGACATGAAATAGTATCGCAGAACATGCTAAAATAATATTGACGATCATAAAATTTATTTTTGATCATTTAAGAGTCGAAATATTTTATTTAAATTCATAAAAAATTAAACAAATGATGGAATAAAATTATCATTTATTTAGCACACCTGAATAATCTAATTTTTTCCTAGACTCTACGTCGTTTGTCGATGTCTAAGTGTTCATGTCTAAAAATTTGTCTGTCGTCGAAATATCTGTAAGACTGACGTAATGTTTTATTTTAAATGCATCATGATGATGATGATGATGATAAATTGTATTGCGTAGTTAATAGAGTTTGAAATTTGTTTAAATAAAAATATTTTTACTCAGACATAAATACTATTCTGGATAATTGAAATACTTTTAAAATTAAAAAAAACATGGGTTACTGATGATAGGTGCAAAAGAAAAGGAAATGATGGTAATTGGCCTAAATAATATTATTAAATCTTTGAAGTTTACTTCCTGAAATAATTTTGAAATAATATAGTTAGCAGTAGAAGTGGTTTGGAGTTGTACATTGTTGTGAGTTTGACTAGAAATGGAACCCAGGATATACCAGATTGGCTCCAATTCCACGCGTCAGATGTGGCTTTTGTGCAGGATCTTTGAGTCCTTTGCTATTGGATTGTGTTAGAGATAGGGGAATCGTCTGAAGTTGATTCTGCTAGAAATTTTTGGGGAGCATACGCAGGTGTACATGAGATTTATGCGGTATTAAAATATGTCTGAAATGAGGACATCTAATAACCAGAAACCACAAAGAAAGGATTTTTTAGGAGTAAATAATGTGACCCCAAAAAGAAGATCATAAATCCTTTGATCTATTCTCCGTGATAATTCTTTTATTTATTATTTATGTAAACTAGAAATACACTGAGCGCTCTTCGAGCACGCAGTTTCAAGTCAACAACGTAAAAAATTATTTAATTTTTATTTTTAATCATTTCGAAAATTCAAAAATAAAACTGACCAATTAGCGCACGAATAAAATGGTTACGCTTTTCTGATTAGTCGATTTAATTTTTTATTCCTTAATTATTGTTTTTTGGTATTTATTACGGTAATTAAAAAATTTTTTCTTTGTTATTATTGAATTTTAATCTCTGTAATTTTATCAAAAAAATATTATAAATATTTAGTTATATTCACACGAACGGCTTTTGTAATTGTATTTCTTTGTCTGACAGTAAGTCATGAGTTTTAATAGATAGGATATTCTTTTTCAAAATTTTTCCAACTTTTGTACTCAGAAAACTATTCGTTTTTTTCTTTCGAAAATTGAAAAAAAGAATCAAGCATTTTTTTAGTTTAATATTAAAAATGAACATGTTGAGTTGAAATTGATTAAAAGTTTTCCAAATTCTGCTGACAATGATGAATAATAAATTGAAATTTTTTCAAAATTTAAATTAAAATGATAAATTTCAATAAATAACACCCTTCCAAGCGTTATCATACGAAACATAAATCGACTTTGAGAAGGAACTTTGGTTTCCACGCAATTTAATAACAGTCTCTTCAAACATAGCTCTATTCCTTGTTTCACCCTTCGTCTTGTCTTCCGCCCTGCTGTTTTCCTCAATGTAAGAATTCATGCGGTAGTTGCTTAGAACTATACGAAACATCGCGAAAGCACTATTATTATAAAATACTTTTATGATATGGTTGTTCTACCACAGTTCTCTACAAAGTTCAACTAAATATTAGGGAGATCAATTGTAATAATGTCAGAGAGAATTGTTCCTTGCTATCCCATACCA